TTTCAGTTGGTGATCATTTCCTTTATTCTCCTGACCTTATTGTGTAATTCAGGGGTGATATTGTAAGGAGAAATTAGATGCCAGTCACTCTTAAGGGTCAAACGGGTTATGAATTTAGAATTTCAAACTCATTTACAATCATTTTCTTTCAATTTCTACCCCAGTGAAATTATTTAGTTTGGTTTCACTTAATTAAGATTATTGTTTCTCCATTCACGAAACAAGGAAGTATTGCAATTGCCAGTTTACACAGCTAAAAACACTTTTTTGAGACCACCAGTTTCTCTCCATGAATAATTAATTCAACAGCTAGATAATTGTAAACTGATCGACCGCTCTTCCAATATTTTGTCGATCAAATTATGAATCCTTCCGAAGCAAAAGTGTTAAGTACCGGGATTTCTGGTTTCCTATCTTCAAAAAAACGCAAGGATTTTGCCTACAGTCGCCTCAGTCAAACAGACAATGATTCGGTGGAATTTTCGAACGTCCATTTTCAGAAAGATCACACTCCTCTATGTACCAAGTTCTTCTTTTGTTTATTGGCATTGATGCTGTTATTTGCAACTGTGGCAACGACGGTATTTCTGATGAACTTTAAGCATTTTACGGTAGATGTTCGCCTGGCAGAAGGCAATGTACGAGTTTATAAATTCGACCAGCAAATCACGATCAATGGCAACGAAGCTTCCTCAAGAAACATCTCTATTGTTGTTTCGATGCATGTCATTAACCGAACTGATAACGAGTGTTGGTTTGGAGTAGTTCTGAGTTTACCAAAGGACTCAAAAACTGATTCTCACTCTAAAGACTTAACATTTCTGACGCACGTTTCAAACGCAGAGTTTGTCGATTTTCAAATTGGCCCAAAAAACCATTTTAAAGTTTTCGGAAACCACCTTTTAATTGTCACCAACCAGGAGCTTTCGTTTTATGTCCATAACATCCTAAACCAGCTTCTTCCGATTATCCAAGTGAGGCTTTATGAATTTGTGCTCAGCAAACTGTCAAGCTCTACCTCGCATTTTGCGGTGGAAAAAAACGTTTTTTTACCAGGGAGTGTTCACCTGAAACGGACCATCATGACAAAACGTGATACAGTGATTGTAAGAACACGGGCTGAACCAGACGACTTCGAAAGCTTTTCAACCGATGAGAAAGGAAGAACGACTTTTTGGATGCTTTCATATGACGAAACTGCTGTTGTTGACAAGAGAACTGGGATGGTCAACAGAGGCGATATGTCTCTCTCTGTTTATATTCCAATAAGCTCTGATTTTACTCCGGGAGGCGCACGTAAACCCGTCCATGGATTAGAGGTGTCATTTCGAAGCACTGTGGAATCGGTTGACGAATCTGAAGCGAACGTGAAAAGTTGGAGGGAGATGTTAAAGAAAGAGAAAGATTTTAACCAGCCGCTTAATCTTCCTTCTGTCAAAGAATCGTTGTTGTTGTATTTTGCACCGTCGAAGGGTAGTCCTCAGAAAAAGCCCGTAGAGGATATTAAAGAGATTATAAAATTAAGTGAAAACTCTCAAGGAAGATCAATAAAACTTCCTCCAATGATTAAGATTGAACAGCATAGTCCTGTCAATGCTGATGAATCAGACAGAGCTGAAAATGATTACGAAAACGATAACTATGATGATGAGTTAAGTGATGAAACTGATGATGACGATTATAGTGAAAATGATAACGATGACGATGAAAATGTACCATACTGGCCTCAGCCGAATTACGCACCATATGGAATCGGTTACGAAGTCAAACGAAAACGGTCTGTCATTGCAAGAAGATCGCAGATCATCAAAAAAGCTGCAGGGAAATCCCCGACAGAACGGAAGATATCCGAATTAGATGCAATCTGGGATGAAATCACTTCTTCTGCCCCAGATCCTATTCGAGAACCTCCACGCGTCATTCGCTCATCGATCTTTGGGTTCGATTTCCTTGCGGAGATTGAGTACAGTCTTAAAGCCACTGACCAAAATGAAAATGATAACGATGATGACAGTGATAATGACAACGACGAGGACTGGTCTGTAACCACTAGTTATCGGATCACATTGGGACAGTATCGTATCTCAGCCTTCAGTAAAACTCGCACATTGAGTACGCTAAGAAGCAAACTGCCACAAGAAGGACAGCGGAAGACTACTCGGTGGCCTGTTGATGCCGGTGACTTCGTAAGTAAAAAACTAAGTGCAATTTCAATTGTTTATTGAAAATGATATGGAATTACGTGATTCTGTTCTCTCTGCGCCCTGTGATTGGTCTAGAAAGTCACGCAATCTTAATAGAAAATAGTATGGGGCCTAAAACTGTCCCCTGAGGGACACTCCTATTGATATTTAAATAATACGTAACAATGGTAACAACAACAACTCTGTTTTCTATTCTGTAAAAAACTAATGGATTTTATATCAATTGTTTTCAACTTAGAGCAGAGAATATCATGACGGACCGAGTCAAAAGCTTTGCTGAAATCAAAAGAAAAAATACTAACACAATCAAATCCCGAATCAAGCCATTTCCGCCCAGCATATTGACACTTAATTAAGGCCATAGTCGTATTGTGGCCTTTGCGGTATGCAAACCGGTCAAAGCTAATGAAGTTATTCATATATTGAGATAATTCAAGTCTTGATACAAGACGTTCAAAAACCCTCATTATTAATGATAATGACAGCGTAAACCTTTGATCTGATTGGTTGCTGTCATTACTTTGGTTTTGGAAAAAAAACTTGCTCTATACCCTTCAAACAATTTGCTCTTTTAACTTCTACTTCCCTATTAGCTTTTGTAATATTTTCTCTCACTCTGATCAGCTTTCGGGGCTATACTCTGTTTTAAGTTTTTTCGACAAAGATTAGCTGTCTAAAGTTTCCGGTTTATTTTACATTTACTGCTTCAGGTGATGTGCGTTCCTCTTTTTTACTTTCAACGTCTGTGTGGAGCCATACGACTCACATTTGATATGACAGTCAGTTACAGCTTGCCTCGACTGTCCTTGTCATATCCAGTTGAACTGAATGTCCACATTGAACAGAAAGTCACCACCAATGCTACTTTATCTGGATATGCTTCCACATGGTTTTACGAGAGTGGATTTTATACCAAGGGTAAAGTTCACTTTAGGCTGTGTAATAGAAGACAATAGAGCGCGATTAAGCATTTTCCTCTGCGCTAGCTCGAAAGTTAAGTTTATTTCTGGGGGCACTCGCCTTGCTAACTCCCCCTCCATGGCGATCCCAGCAGTAACAGTGAATTACCAGTGTATTGACGAGGTTTGAAGCGTATCTTACGATATATGTAGTGTAACACATTAGTCATTATAAGATCTGCATCTCATAGACTGACCCGCACACCTATTGGAGCTAATCTCCAGAGGGAATGGGGGGTGGGGGAGAAGGGGGACAGAATACTTTCTTGTAAAAAGTTAATATGAATGTGCCACTGGATAGGGTCGCATTTTCACGACTGGACTTTCAACAGAGTAACTAGAACGTAGTTTTTATTGTATCACCAAAAGTGGCGAAGGAGGGGGGGGGTTTCTAATTGGAGAATAAACTACAATGGGGTAGGGGTTCTGAGAGGCCAGCGGCACATACCCAGCAAAAAATTACCCAAGTATTTCCCGCCCCACCCCGCCCCACCCCCAACTTCACCCCCAACTAAGGGAAAAGGCTCTGGGAACGAGGTTGCGCATCAAAATGTCCCTCTGATGATATCTCCTTACTAATGCTCCCCTTATAATCTGTCAGCGACCACTGATCCCCCACGCGTTTCCCCTGAAAACCATCTGATCACCCACCAAAATTCTCTGACCCCCCTCCCCCGCGGCGATAAAAAATGACCGCGGTTTTTTAGTTAATTCGCCGGCACTCAATGCTGAGTAGAGAAAGAGGCACTCCAAGAACGAACTGTCTCGTCCACGGACGCGTCAAAATGACCCTGGCAAGAGTTCGAATCCACATTTTTAAACTATCATACCCCCGATTCCAGCGTATTTAAAATAATTCATTAATTTTCTGTTTTTCTTCAAAAGGAACCCTTGCTATGGCAACTTTACCAGTGAGGTTGTCTTTCAAAGAGGATACCTCACCCGAATGGTGCGTCAATGGAAATCTTGAACAAAAAATGGTTCGCATCGACACGGTGCCCCGGTCATCTTGGAATTGTTCTCTGGATTTTTTAAAGTTGGCTGATACTTGCCATGGGCTGCCAGCTACAAACACGTCTCTGGTGACGTTTGATCTTCATTACAGCTCAACTGAAGGAACAATGTTTGATAACTGGCATTACCCAGTCAGCTGTGTACATCAAAAGGTTTATTCTCCATACTGAAAGAACACGACCTGATCAAGCGTTCTAAAAATTAAATTGGGGATAATTCTCTTAAGGGCTTAGCATTAGTGCCCTAGCTCTTTCAGTCAGTTGTTTTTACTAAGAGCCTGGGATCAACTTAAATAGATGTTGGCACGCACGGGTTCCGTCCCGTGCTTCAGGTTACCAGGTGGAGTAGGCGCTTCGAGAAGCAAGCGTGAACCTTGGCACGCGAGAGATCGAGCGAGGATCAACCTGATTCACGCTAGGGCGCCCGCGTCTCATGATGTGGGGGCCTGTCTGCGGACAACAAGGATATAACGTCTAAATTAAACGTTAACTTTGCCATTATCCTCCATAAGGCGCAAAAAATGAAAGGAATAGATTGAGCTCCTTTGAACGCGCATTTGTAAAGGCGAAGCGGATAAAAATGACGTGAAGGAAGTGTAAGCTAAACTTTTCGACCGCACCCTTCAAGCGAACGTCCGGTTCCGCTTGTGATTCTGGGAATTGATTTAAGTGTCATTTCCTGTAGTCTGCGCTAAATTCTTCACCTGTCCACTCTTCTGAGCATCAAACGTCGATTTAGACAAAGTGTAAAGAATTGTTGACAACGTAGTTGTCTGTCATTAATGTGTCAAGTTAACTACAATGTACCTAATCAATTCAGGTGATGAGATCAAATTATCTTGTAACACCCCCAACCAGTGCGCAGCTCCACAGTTTTTTGTAGAAGCTTCCCTGCTTATAATGAGCTGCTTTATTCACGCAAAATGTGCAAATTGTTGAAAACACGTTCACCTCCGAGAATCTATCAAGCTGAATTTTTAGGCCAGAGAAATCGCTAGAGGAAAAAACAGTCGTTGATACGATGCGGATGTGATTTATAAAACAGTTAGGTGGTGAGTAAGAGATATTTTGTTGAAGCTTTCCTCGAAAGGTTCACCGATGCAGTCATGAGGTATTTTGTTCATTGCGTTTCTCAGAACTATTGTATATAGATGAATAAAGGCTGATAGTTTCGAAAGAAACTGTTTGGGGCTGCGTCGGTGGGAGTAACGAAATAATTTGGATATATCAACAAAGTTGAAATGGTAAATTGGCCACCGTAACGATTACAAAAGCTGACGTTTCGAGCGTTAGCCCTTCGTCGGACGAACCCCTCCGAAACGTCAGCTTTTGTAATCATTACGGTGGCCAATTTACCATTTCAACTTTGTTGATATATCCAAATTATTATATATAGATATTTTTTTGATAAGGCATCTGAAAAAATAAAGACTTGCAAATCAAATAACATAAATATAAATGGAGGTATCAAGTTATTTCTAAAATCTTGCTGATAATTCCAATTTTTTTTTTTTTGGATATCTCTGATAGTAGCTCGTTTTTCTTAATACATTAATAAGAGATTAAAGATGAGACTCGAAAAATTGCAGCTGAATTTAAAATTAAAGGCACACTTCTCGCTCAAAATTGAAAATTTCATTTTCCAAAGATTGATTCGAAAGACAAGTGTCCCCGTTATCCGAGAAATAAACAAGCCATGCGGAGCCTGCTGAAACTAAAAAAGCGTAACATTTTTTTTTCTATTATTGAGACGCACAAATCTTACATTTTGTCTCGAGCGATTTTCCAGAGATTTTTTCATACCTTATTTGGTTTTTTACGCCAGCCCTAAATGTTCCCTATTCTTAAGTTATTAGGCGAATGGAGCAAAATATTTCAAAAAAAAATTTTATGTCAACTTGGAGTTAACCTTACCCCGCCCGCGCCCCGCCTCCATTTAGCTTTCCCGGTAGAGCTATTTTGACATCTTGCTAATTTTTGCTATTTTGGGAAACACTCCTTCAGTTAACGAAGAAGGATTACATTAGCTTTATTTGAATGACGTCCTAGCTTAATTAAAGTGAATAGTGCAAAGCATAATACGGAAATGTCACGTAAAAGCAAAAAAAGCGTCCTGTCATGTCACGCTTGTATGATCACACTTTAAACCCCAACTGAGATGTGCTCAAACGCTAATTGAACGTTCGTGGGTGGACGATTAACTTTCTCTCGTTATATTGTATTGGAAGAAACAGGGTTTACTTCCATCGATAAAGTAGAAATCATCTTTTATAATCTTGTCCAAGGCGTTGCATGATTGGTTGACTAGAGGTTACTTTGAACTGCACGAAAACTGTGGGCGCACAAGTTTTCAGTTGGAAGTTGGTGAAGTCAGTTGGTTTGTTGCGTGTTAAACTCGCCGGTACGAACAGCCTGTGTCAAGGTTTCGAGCTGTAATCAAACATTGTTTTGTGTAGGTTTGTATCTTTTTTTTGACTCGTAACGAAGTTATTCTTTGTAATAATCTGTTGTTGAAAGGTGACTAAACTAAACCCTCCTAGTTCCAAGTAAATTTCATTCGAATTTCTTGTAAATTACACTGTTGCGTGGACCGTTTCTCCAAACTGATTAAAACGTTCTTGTAACCGGTTCTGACTAAAAGTCGTAAAACTAATTAGATTCCATATATTGAGCTGGCATTTTTTAATTAAAAGCTTATTTTGCATTGGTTGTCGTCCTGTTGTCTTGCCATGTCGCCGCTGGCAAATCTACGTAAACAAAACACACTTGTCTCAAAATTATTTACGAAATATCTCAGATGTATCTCGCTGATCTAAATAACGTAAAAATGCACATGTGATCTGCATAAGATTGTCAATTACAGATACTTTCTGTGTTGTTTTTTCGTTAGAAACAATTGACATGTTTACAGAGAGAGTAATCAGGGGTGTTGAAAACTTGTGTCAAGGAGGATCCTGATTTGCAAAAGCGTACGTACCTTAACTTGGAAGAGTTAGTAATCATGGGAGAAGAAACCACAGTCGACGGAAGTTTACATCAAAGGTTCGAAAATGAAGGCGATGCAGAAAGCCCTACATGCGGATTAGTTTCCTGGAGACCAAGCTTTCTTCAGCGTTTTGCCAAGGCTAAATGGTTTCTGCTTTTCCAATGTTGGTTTGTCCTAGCGCAAGGGATGATCGTGTCGGGGTTTCAAGGAGTTGTGATTTCCTCCCTGGAAAGACGTTTTTCGTTAAAGACGAAGGAAATTGGAGTTATTGTCAGTTGTTACGACATTTCTGCTGCAATGATGGCCATTCTAGTAAGCTACTACGGCCATCACCACAAACCAAAGTGGCTCGGCACTGGAGCTTTCATTCTAGGAATAGGATGCTTTTTATTTGCCCTTCCACATGTTCTCGTTGGCCGATACGAGCCAGGTTCTAGTGCAACAAACCTTTGTTCCATGGATAGCCTTCCGTCAAATTTGATATGCAGAAGCTCTGTCTGGTATCACATATTTGTCTTTGTGCTGGCGGAGTTTTTAATCGGGATCGGAGCAACCCCTGTGTATATTTTGGGGACTGCATTCATCGATGAAAATGTCCGCCGCACCACGTCGGGATTGTTTCTTGGAATTATGTACGCTGTGGCAACATTTGGTCCTGCTGTTGGTTTCCTGCTTGGAGGAGAATTTCTCAGGATATATGTCGATATAGAGCAGGTATTACTACAATAATAATACCTTCTTATAGAGTTTGAATCAGAATTTCTATGTAGATAAGTAACAGTTTCCCCAAGGAAAGGAACCAAGGAAAAACTAGGGAGAGGACACCTCCAAAATGGACATGTGCAGCGTGACCCATGAATTCTAAACCTCATTCCTTCCTAGAAATCTGCAAATTCTTCACCTAATTCCGATTTGATTATGGAGTAATTTGGATGATCTACAGATCAAATGGGCTCAGCTATGTAGTGCCGGTCATTGGGCAAAACACCACCTTCTCCCCAGGAATTTAATGAGAGCAAGTAATCTGAAAGGGAACATGATGAAAGGTAGGGGAGGGGTGGGTTTAGCCTGCAATGGACTACTTTCCTTCCCAGGGAGGGGGGTAACAAAAACCTTGGTTTGTTCATGCTACAGGGATGGAGGATGGGAACTTCCAGGCTTCAGGCAAGAACAGCACAGGTAATCTGCCACATAGATAGGGCTCTCTCTAGAGAGTGTTAATGTTCCTGCAAGCTTGTATTTATGATCAGAATTATCAGGATTATATTATGAAAACATTGACTATAGAAATATCACCTCTCTTAAAATGAACCCTTTGATCCTAACAGTGACCAGCATCTAACTTCTCCTTACAATATCACCCTTAAATCACACATTAAAGTCACAAGAATACAGGAAATGATCACCAACTAAAGAAGCTCTTGGTAGTTTAACAAATTCTCCTTGTGTGCATCTAAGGAAAAGTAAGGGAATAGTAAGGTTTAATGCTATTCATACTTCTTTTATTTCAGCCAGAGGGTGTAAGTCTTACCCCAGAGGATTCAAACTTTATTGGTGCATGGTGGCTGGGGTACATACTAGGTGGCTCACTGTCCATTATGGTCAGTCTTCCTTTGCTTGCATTTCCAAAAGAGCTTCCAGGAACACCAGAAATCCGAGCTGAAAAACAGAGATATTCGGACACTGTGGAGGATGGCAACATGCCACATACATTGAAGCAGTTAATACCTTCGCTGAAGACACTTCTTACAAACAAGCCTTTTGTATTTCTTTCTCTTGCCTCAGCATTTGAGGGTTTTGCTGTGGGAGGTTTCTCTACATTTTTACCAAAATTTGTTGAGGCACAGTTTCGTATCCCAGCTGGCCTGGCAAGCACATACACTGGCCTAGTCGTGGTTCCAGGAGGGTGTGGAGGCATGCTATTTGGGGGTTATCTCATAAAGAGAATGAAATGGACTTGTGACAAGACCATCAGAGCTTGTTTTATTATTGCCTGCTTAGCAACACTGTGGGCTGCAGGCATGTTCTTTGGCTGTCCTAACAGAATATTTGTTGGTGTAACAGATCCCTACATAAACAGGTATTGATAACTTGGCAGTTGTAATGGTGTGAAAACAGGTAGTTGCGAAAATGAAGACCCCGAAAACAAAGACCTAAGACCCCCTACAAAAATGAAAACCCATTACAAGAACGAAGGCCCCCTATGAAAACAAAGACCCCCTACGAAAAACAATACCCCATTATGAAAACAAAGACCTATCACACAAACAAAGACCCATTACAAAAATGAAGACCCCCCAACAAAAACAAAGACCCATCACGAACACAAAGACACATTACTAAAACACTATTACTCCCTGTGGTTTTCGCCAGCAAAGAATTCAGTTGTCTTGTTTCTGTATTGCTTTATTGTTTTTATTGTTTTTATTTTTTTCTGTAATGGGTCTTCGTTTTCATAATGGGTCTTCGTTTTCGTAGGGGGTCTTGGTTTTCGTAATGGGTTTTTGTTTTCGGGGTCTTCATTTTTGTAACTACCCCATAAAGAGTTCAAAGTTGATGTTTTGAGTGATAGCTCTCAGTCACAGTGAGCAAGAAAGGGCCAACAGTCAAAAAGTCCCCTTTGAAACTCTTAACAGTAGCCATTTTACATCATCAACTCAGTCGATAAAACAAAAATTACCTTGTTACTCCCACCAAAGTAGCACCACAGTTTATTTAAAAACTTGCCCTCTTTATTCATTTGACTTTATATGGTTTATCGTGAAATGTGTTTTTAACATTTACTTATGCGTCAGTCCTAGGTCATCACTTGTCAACATTACTTCTTCCTGTAATGCAGCATGTAACTGTGACGTAAAGTACTTTTCACCTGTTTGCTCCAAACAAGATCAGTTAACATTTTACTCTCCTTGTTACGCTGGCTGCATGGCAGATGACAGATTAGGCAACAAAGTAAGTGTTGTGCAGGGGTTTCATAATGAATTGAAGTGGCAAGAGAGTACATATGAGTTTGAGGTGCATACTGCAAGATATGGAAAGAGTTTCATCCTCTGGGGTTTTAGGTGCATTTAAGTGTAGAGTGCGTACATCTAAGTGGAAAAAAAAAAAAGAAGAGATTTAGTACCAGTAACTTGAAGTACAGACAAAGAAACTGAGGTTATTAGGATATTTATTATAGCTCTGGAATTCAAATAGAGGGGAAAGACTTCAATTAAAAAAAAAACACTTCTTAACCTTTTATACTCTTACATCAGCTTGCATATTCTCCATACTGTTCTCTATACATTTCACTGGGTGTAGACAAGGAGAATTTGTTTAACAATTAAGAACTTGTTTAGTTGGTGATCATTTCCTTTATTCTCATGACTTTGTTGTGTGATTCAGGGGTGATATTGTAAGGAGAAATTACATGTTGGTCACTCTTAGCGGTCAAATGTTTAATTTGGTTATAAAGTAACTTTCAATAACCACAGTGTATTATCCAACTACACCTAGACGAGTACAAATAATGCCATAGACAAGTACAAATAATGCCATAGACGAGTACAAATATCACGTGGTATTTGTATTCGTCTATTGTTACAGTAGTACCGGTTAAACAGGTTTTCTCGCATTGCGCAAGCCAAGAATTGGATTGTAGTTACGAAAAAAAAAAAAAGTGGTGGACAATTTGAATCGTATTTCCGACAACGAAGAGTCAGAATGGCTGGCAAAGATAGGTCCAAGTTCATTAGATGAATTGAATGAAGAAAAACAGCTTGATGACCATAAAAAATTTCTTCGTTTAATGAAGAAAATAGAAACACCGACACAACAACGTGCCAATTGTGTTCTGCTTCACATACTTCTGTCACGCACTCCCTGTAAATAAATATCCGCAAAATTCGCCCGCACTGAAATAACAGTTTGGTGTGTTGGATAATAAATAACTTATTAGACATTTTGTTGTGTAGTCTCGCTGAATATTTTTACTCGTCATTTGTATTTTGACTTGCCCTACGGCCTCGTCAAAACACAGCACAACTCGTAAAAATACTCAGGGATACTGCACAACAAAACGTCTAATAAGATATATGTATTTTAACTGGTGATTGTTGCATATAGTAGCTGGATAATTTTCCAATCCCAGTTTCCTAATGAACTCTCCTGGCCAGTTGTACTGGATTAGATTTTAATGATCCCATCAATGATGATGATGATGACGATGATGATGATGATGATGATGATGATAATGATAATGACGATGAAAAGAAAAATTATTGCAACACTGAGTGGTGGTGATGATCTTTTCTAAACTCACAGGGATATCAAAACTGTAGTTGTTTTGTGACACAATCAAATGAGGGAATTGAAGGCAGTGGATGTGAGCCGGAATGCAATAATCTTTTTCCTTTCCTTTTCTGCCTCTTTGGTCTCATGGTCTTCACATTTTCAAACAACATTCCAGCAACTACAGCAACTCTCAGGTAAAATTCGTGGTTTTCAAAGAACAAGGTTACAGTCAAACCTGTCTTAAGCAGTCACCCAGAGGGAACGGCAAGTGAATGGTCAATACAGGCTGACTGCTAAATATTGGTTCTCTGATAAGGGCCGGTATTATAAAAATGATAAGCTAGACGGCCTAATGTACAGAATATTACTCGAAAGTACTCCTTACTTTGAATTTGGGAGAGTAAAATGGATCAAAAATTACTTGATATATATTATTTTATATCTTTCTATATATAAACCACACACAACCTGAAACTTATTACCCTCTTTATATTCAGTCAGTCAATTGATCAATCAGTTATTCATCCTATCAGTAAGTCCATCAATCAATCCCAATCAATCAATCAATCCCAATCAATCAATCAATCCCAATCAATCAATCAATCCCAATCAATCAATCAATCAATCAGTTCAGTCAGGCAGTCAATCATTTGACCATTCAGAATACACTACATTCTCTGAGACAAAAAAAATAAGAATGCAATTTTTTTTTATTTTTCAAATTTCTTCAAGTGGCATAAATTTCAAATATGATTTTCTTTGGTTTTAAACTCTAATTATGTTGCATTCTTGAGACTGAATTATGAAGTAAATGAAGATCCATTTTCTCAATGCCTTTTTATTAACGTCACAAATGAATTGTTCTATTTTAAGAATTTCAGTCATGTGACATGAGTTTGAGATGTATTTTTCATCCCATTCAGATGTGTTCCAGAGAGCCAAGGATCATTTGCTCTGGGCATCAACCAGCTCATTGTTCGTATTTTGGCCTTCATTCCTGCACCAATTGTCTTTGGATACGTGATTGACGCAGCCTGTAGACTACATCAAAAGGACCCTTGTGATGCTGGGGCGGAGAGGAACTGCTTGGAATATGACACTGATATGTTCAGGTCAGTGTACTCCAGCATACAGTCCACCCAACCCCCCACCCTTGCACATGCTATCCCCTCCCCCCCTTTCTTCTTGTTAGGATGGTGGATTTCATATTGAAAGCTTAACTATTTATTCCTCAAATAAACCTTCAAAACTTGGATTCTTCAGATATTTTCTTCAAAGTTGTTTCATGACAAAAGTATCAATCCTTTAGA